TCAGGACTCAGAGGTGGGGATCCAGGGCCACGTCCCTCCCTTTCTCTCCCGTGTTTGTGCCACGAACAGTGGCCGTCTTTCAGAATCCCAGTCCTGGTCCCGTCAAGTGGCCACCATCTGTCTCCTCCCTTTCCTTAGACCCATCTGCGACCCGTCCGACCACCTAATGTCTCCAAGGCCACCTTTCAATACCGCAGCTGGGCTGTCCCCACCCTCTCATTCCTGTTACGACTCGACACAGGAGTCAGGGGCATCAAACCACAGCCCCCACCTCCTGTCCCCTCTAGGTCCTCAGAAACGTGCAGTTTCAGATCCAGTTGCAAAAGCATCTGAAAAAAAAGCCCTGAAAGAAAAGTGATTTTAGTTGCTTAAACATTATGTGCAAAAATTAAAATGACACATTAAGAAAAGTTGTCAATTAGACTACCAATCACTCCCTGGAAAGCGATTTGCAAATCACACCTGGGCGTTTTCTCAGATTTTCCTATGCATCCATCTCCCCGGGACCTCCTTTCTATAAAAAGGCTGTGGATCCAAACGGGCCTCACGAGGGCCTTGCCTCCCCAGGAGGTCCCCAACCCCTGAGAGCTGCCCCTCTTCCAGGCACTGCCCTGCACCCCCAGGCTGTCCCCGTAGCCACAGGTGGATTCAGGGGGCCTGGACCTGCCCCAGCTCCTGGCCCCAGCTCCGTCTGCTCTCAGAGTGGCGCTGGGGCCCCCCAGTGTGCGCTTGCCTGCCACCTGCCTGGCCCTGCATCCATGGGGACAGCCCAGCACTCCCCTTGTCTCTCTGGGATCCCTGCTGCACCCCAACTCTCCAGCACCCCCACCCAGCAGTTCCTGCTCCTTCCACCAGGGGCCAACAAGGCTGGGGACAGTGACAGTGCTGGCCAACACCCTAACAGGAGCACAGGGCTCGGGCACCACTTCACTGAGTTGCAGCCACCTTGGTACCTGCACTGGCCAGGACGCTCCTGAGAGCAAAGGAGAGCAGGGGGAGCAGGGGGAGCAGGGAGGGTGCGGGGGAGCAGGAGGGCACGGCGGAGCAGGGGGAGCCCCCTGGCAGGCTGCCGGCCCCTGCCCTTGGCCCGCCTCCCCTCACTGGGCCCTCTCACCCCACCTCTCTCCAGGCCCTCCTGCCTCTCCCCTTCTTCCCGCCATTCTCTCCTGCCCTTTCTCTCCGGTGTTTGTGCCAGGAACAGTCTAATTACAACAGGGAACTTGAAGAGACAGGGAAGGAAAAAGCCACCTCACGCAGCTGATTAAAATGTCCTCTGAAGTCTAATTTGTAAAGCTCAAGTCAGAATATGAACTGTTATTCCCACTGTTCAAAGCCAGTCTGGTTTTAATGAGGCTCCTCGGAGCCCAGCGAGGGTCCCAGCACGCGGTGAACGCGGCTTGCCTGCCGCCCTGCTCCTGCCCTCACGGACTGGTGATCCCCGCACCACTCAGCCCTCCCTGCCTCCTCTCCACGGGTTCTATCCACCAGCCAGTCCCGTCCCAGTCTGCTGTGGGAGTCCAGCGGCAGGTGCGGGCCAAGCCCGGCCTCTGTGTGCCCAGGACCTCTGTGGCCATGCCTAACTGTCCAGGTCAGGCCACCGAAGCATGGAGTCTCCGTCCCACCAGGTCCAGCCTCTCTGTTACGTCTTTATCTGGGAGCCAGGTCGGACAGGACAAGGCGCGGAACTCGGACGGACTCAGCTCAGACCTGTCTCACAGGCCACTAGCTGTGTGACCTGGGGCAGGTTGCTGCCCCTCTCTGATCCTGGCTTTCTGCTGTAAAATGGAACTATTTCTGTCCCAAAGTACAACTAAACAGATTACAGGAGAAAGAAGAGCCAGGGGACTTCCAGGCGTTGGTGGAAAAATGGAATTTGGAAGTATGACTATATTTTGCTGCAAAAGTTTAGAAACCCACGTGTAGTTCTTTCATAATCACATTTTTCACGAGCCTCGGGAGAGCCCTGGCATGCAGGGCCCTAGGCACAAGCCAGATGCCATGAGCGTCGGCATCTCGTGCCCCTTCCCCTGGGGCCCTGGGGATCAGGGATCACGCTGCCACCTTCAGCAGCCCCCGGCAGGGCAAGGCTCGGGACGTGTGGGCAGCTTGCTCGGCAGCTGAGAGGGGCCGGCGGAGCCAGGAGGACTTGGGCTGGAGCCCCGGCCCTGCTCCGGCGGCTGCCTGGACGGTGCACCCACCCTGTCCCGACTGTGCATGTCGCTGCCCTGACTAGGGCCCTAGA